AAAGCGTGATGATAGAAATGATTTGGTTTTCAAAGTGCCTCTTAGCTTTTCAGAGAGATTCTGTAAATATCCATCAGTGCCAATACCCTCTAATAACTTGACCATCTGGGTAGAATTTTTAAAATTGGATTTTTCGCTCTAGAGATATGAAGATCTGAAATGATGAAAATATCTTTCATAAAAATGTTATGGATTCAAAATACTTACTGTGTATTTAGATAACTCCTGCAGAGAGGGGAGAATCCCACCAAAGGGTGAGGAAAGGTTTCATCATAAGTAAGTACATGCAGCCTTGGAAATGATCATTAAGGATGCCTCACTGAACATAGGAAAGTGTTCAGTAGGGTATATAAAAGCATTGTATCTATTGACAAAGGTACTTTGAAAACTGTACTACTTGTTCTTTTTAGACCCAGTTGTACAAAAGCTGAACCACATGAGGTCTGACTCCTCACGGCAGAGTTCCTAAGCTTGCTTGGCCTGTCCTGTGTATCTACTCTTAGACTTCCCTGTTTTGGTACATTGGTGATCACCAGCCTCATCAGTGACTGGTGTCACCTGGGTTTAAGTCATGAGTGGTGTGTAGTGGCATGTGGTTTAGTTTCCCTAAGCAGGTTGATGTTGACATTTTGTTTGTTGATCCTTTGCTAGCCTTCAGTTTTCAAAGTATCTCTTGAGTTTTTTTTGCCTATAATTTGATTTTCTGTCATTTGTAGTCTCATGGATATGTTGCAAATGTCTGAGCTTACCTTTTCTTATTCTTATTGATTATTTTGAGGAACTGGAGTGTCTGATTAAGGATAAAACTGAATTTATTAATTTGTTCTTGTATGGTTACTACATGTGCATATGAAATCCTAAATATCCTAGCATAACAGAGGTTTATATCTGATTCTTAAATTTTTATCATAGGTTTTACAGTTTTAGCTTTTGCATCTATGATCCACTTCAGATTAATTCCTATGTGAACTATAAGGTTAATTTAATCTGTATGTAGACTGTAAGATAGATTCAGCCCACTCATTTTTATGACTGTCTACATATCTGCTTCAAGGGAATTGTTGAAAAGCTGTCCTTCATCAAATACTCTTTGATGTATTATTTAAAAATGAATTGAATATATATATATATATGCATATATATAGTTTTTTATATATATATATATATATATATATATATATATATATATATATATATATTGTTCTCTTCTGTTAATGTGTTTGTTTCTCCAGCCAGTCCAACACTCCTTTAAAAATCGTGCCTGCACTATAACTAGAAGCCAGGTACAAATTCTTCAACTTTGCCCTTCTTTTCAATTTTATTCAGAACACACTACATCATTTTCCTTTCTATACAACGTCACAGTGAGTGTCTCAGTGATACTGAATGAAAGCCTTATGTCTTTTGCCTTTGTTATGTAGTTTTTGTGACTACGTTGTTCCTACACAGGTCAGACTGGCCTGGACCTTGCTATGGAAAGTAGGTTGATCTGAAAGTGGCCATTCTGCTGCCTTGGCTTCCCAAGTGCTTGCTTCTTATTTTCAGTGCAATTTATTGAATGTATAGGGCGTTCTGGGAGAAACGACATCTACAAAACTTTGTAGTCTTCTGGGCATAATTATGTTCTCCATGGATGTGGGTCATAATGAATTTGCCTTAGCGATGTCTTATAGCATGGGGATCTTTCACTTTTTGTTATTTTCTTACATGCTTTGCTAAGATCTCCCTTGGGTGTCAGCAGTGGGGAGTGGAGGCATGGTATACAGGGTCTTTCAGTTTAGCTCAGGCTGGCCTGGAACTCTCAATCCCCCTGCCTCACCTGACTGCATTCTAGAGTTATAGCCCGATACCACCATACCCATGCTTTTCATTTTAAAAGAAATGCTATTCTAAATAGATTTTTAAATGATTTATTACAGTTGTTTGTTGTCAGTATGCAGAAACACAATTATTTTACATTGCTCTTTAATTCTGAACTATTGATAAATTCTTACTGTATTTTTTGTCCATTTTACACTTTCTACAGAAAAAAATCGTGTGAATAATTTATCTCTTATTTTGCCTTCATACTGAACTTTTTCCTTTTGAAATAATATTTAATATGGTACTGGCTGTAAGTTTCTTACTGATGTCCCCCCCCCCCATCAGATTAAGGGAGCCCATTCTCTGTACATCAGCCAAGAGTATCTGTCAGAGTACATAGAACTAGATAAAATACATCTCTTTTAGTGTTGATGACCCTGTTACTATTCTTTATTCTGCTGTGTGGTGAACTGACCATGACTGTAGTGAGGAGTTGACCTTGCCTATCCCACATCTTTGCTCTTCACTCTTCCTCTGAAGGGACTTTCTCTTTGCCACTGTTTCCCATCAGCCTAAAATGTCTCATTTAACATTTCTTGTACCACAATCTATATTTGATTACGTTTCTGTTTTTTTTAATTGCTGTTTCTTTAGTTTCATCTTTTGAAGGATGAATTAATTTAACATTCTGAGTTGGCAGACATTTTCATTGCCTCGTGGCTCATGGTTTCTGGTGCATCGTCAACCAACTGTCCTGTCCTTTCATGGTTTTCATAACTTCGATTTCTTCTTTATTTATTGAGCTTGAGTTCTCTCCTTCTTCTTTCATTTGTAGAGTGGTGTTTTGAGCTGAGGTATAGAGGAGGTTTTGAACTTCTATTCTTCTGGGTTTGCTTTGTTGTGACTGTTCTCCTGCTCTTCCTCTCGGGCCATTTCTTCTGCAGCCTAGACTTGATGTGACCTGGCAAGTCCCCAGGGCCCTATTTATTATGTAAGCCTTGTACTCTCTGTTCTTTAGGTTGTACTTCTTGTATATCTTTGTTCATGGCCATGTATCCTCTTTCCTGCCTCGTCTCCTATACTGTTCAGTTTGCAAGATTTTTACCCCAGAGATTTTGCATTCCAGTTCTAGAACTTTCTCCTGCTTCATGTTTACACAGTCTATGCTGAGGCTCTTCATCTGTTCATCCATGGAGACCATTTTTATTGAAAATATCTTAATAGATACTTTAAAGTTCTTTTCTATTAATGACAACATCTGGCTCATCTTACACTGTTTCTATTGGCTGCTTCTTTAAAAACTGATCATCTTACATGTTCATTTGCTTACTTCTAAGTCTAATAATTGCTTTGCATACTGTATTTCCTAAGTGATAGGGTATAGAGTGAGATTAGTCTTTAAAAGTTATGTGTTATCAGGCAGCTAACTATTTGTGATTCTTTTACCTGTTGGCTCTTGGCTTTATCCTGTTCATAGGGTTGATCTAGAGTAGCCCTTATTTGAATTCTTCAAGTATGGTAGCTTTAGTGGCTCAGGCAAATTCTAAAGGAACGACTAAAGAATCTTCATCACTATTTCCTGAACTCATAGCAACACGCAACCTCTCGTGTGTCTGTTTCTCAAGGAGTTTGCATGGCTTCTTAACCTCTCACCCTTGACCATAGTCTTGTCAGTACCCCCTGAAAACTTTTATTTTTGTGGCTTTTTCTTCTCCCTTATGGTGTCCTTCAGCTTCTCATCCTTTTTCAACTCTGAACTGCTGCCCGTGTGTTCTCCGCACAGGATGGATGATGTGCTCAATTCTACTCTGATATGGATTGCAAGCAAGGAAATCTCCCTAGGCAGACATTAAGGCTTTATCCGGAATGCTTTCCTTTGCTTATGGACTTCATATTTGTGTGTCTGTGTATGGTAGTGCATGCCTGTAGTCCTAGAACTAGGGAGGTTGTGATGTGAATGTGGGGTTCAAGGCCATCCTGGGACATGCAGTGAATTCCAGGCCAACCTGTGTATACCAAGATCTTGTCTCAGAAACATACTTATGCTTTTTATTTGAAAATAAATGCCATTCTAAGTAGATTTAAAAAAAATTATGGTTGTTTGTTGTCAGAATATAGTAGCTGGAATGATTAGTGTGTACAATCAGGCATGACATGAATAACAATTTTGCATTAAAAATGTTTTATTCTCTATTTAATTTGCAATGAAAACAAGAAAATACACAAGAGAAGAGCAGAATTATTTGTTGTTTTACTTCATACTAAATTCACTTTTTCATCCAGATAGCATGTTCTATAACATAGTTTTTATATTAAAGAACTAAGTATTTAATTTTCATTTCATAAACTGTTGGCATTTTAATTTCTTATATGCATAATTTGGATGTGTGGGAGCATGTACACATACATCTGTATGCGCATGTACATATATATGTACATGCTCCCACACAGATATCTATGTGTTTAAGAAATAAAATACAAAACGATAATAAATGAGCTGGTATACCAAATGGGTTTCTAGACTTGACTCAGGCCCTATCACAAGAGGCTTTGCTCACACTGTCCTTCAATGATCTGTCTATCTAGTAATGTCCTTGTGTGTGTTCTGGGACTTGAACTCAGGACCTACGCTTGCTAGGCAGACACTCTTCCACTGAGCTATTTCCTCAAGCCCCAGTAATTTTTGTCTTCTCTGCTTGCCTCTATTATGTGCTGAGTCTTTCTGCCCATTTGTGAGGATTTAGGAACATATTGCTTCTTTATGCTTTGATTCACACCCTTTTCATAAGTAATGGGCTTGTAATGATGTCAATTTGTTAACTGTTATGTCTATGACAGTGGCATGGTATTTGTGGTAGCTATAGGACAGTCACAAAGGATAAGCACTATCCCCTTTTCATCATTCTAGTATTGGCTTAGCTGAGAAAACACATTGGCCTTACTCTCCCCAATTTTAGTCAATTTCTGATAAAATTTTCATTTTCCTGCCTCTTTAATTTATCTGAAAATGTGTTACAGAAGCCTTTCATGGCAACGTTAGAAAGCTATATGAGAGCACACTTAAAATATTGTTTCTGCCGAAGGTGTGATTAATACCATTTCAGTTTCAGCTTCAGATATCTGTTTTCACATATTTTAATGAAGGAAAAGTAAAATAGTAATAACAAAATAGTAATTCCTCAAACGCCTTTTAACAGATTCATTTTGATGGCTGGGACCATAAATACGACTACTGGATGGACGCTGACAGCCCTGACATTCACCCCATTGGGTGGTGTGACGTGACAGGGCACCCACTGGAAGTACCATATGGTAAGTAATTTTCTCTTTGTTGTTGCTTGGAAATGCTTAGCATGAATTCCATTCTTAATGGTGCTTATTCGTGTCATTACAGTCATTTGAAAGCTAAGTCACAGATATGTGAATTAATTAATAGCCATTCAAGCTGACTCTGAAAATCAGTTATTCCCTATTAAGGCTCAAAGGACAGGGTTTAGATTAGATGAGAAGCAATAATCACTAAGGAATAATTCTCATGTTTTCCAAAGCAGTCTTTCTTGTCTACATGTTGGCTTGAAGACCTGAGCCAACATTTCTAAATCTAATCTTTGTCACTGAAGTTGGATCAATTTTTAAGCACCCCGTGTTAATTTTATCTTATACAATAAATTATAAAACTTTCAAAAAATACGAAATATTTTAAACTTTAGCAGTTTGAAGAATGAGAGTGGAGGAACACTCTATTTTGTTGGGATCTGTGTGATTTCTGCCTTTCTAGCCACTTAAACCTAAGGAAGAAATTAAGCACTCTAAATTCTAATGAGCTTCTAACTGAAATGCCTTATTTTGTCTGAGGGAGACCTCTGACCTGATTAGGCTAGCATGGCTAATCACTAGTTCCAGGCCTTCTTTCCAACATTCTCCATTAGTGTGTGTGTGTGTGTGTGTGTGTGTGTGTGTGTGTGTGTGTGTGTGTTTTCTTCTTGCTGGTTCTCCTTCCATCCGTCAGTGTCTTAAGAGGAAGCTGGAATGTTAGCAAGTGAGCGCTTCTTGTTGTGGGATACTTGTACACTGTGTGAAGGTGTATTGCTGTGATTGGTTTAATAAAAAGTTAAATGGCCAATAACTAGGCAGGACTTCCGGCCAGGGGGAGGAATCTAGGCCCAAGAAAGATGCAAAGAGACATGGAGGAAGCAGAGTGGGTGGTACATAGATGAATAGAGATGGGTTTACTTACATTGTAAGAGCTAGTTACAAACAAGCCTAAGCTAAGGTCATGCTTTCATAATTAATAAGTCTCTGTGTCATTATTTGTGAGCTAGAGGCTCAAGGGAAAATCAAACTACATATGGTGTCCAACATGGTGGCTCAAATATCTGAGCAAAGGGCCTGAGAAAGCTAGGAAAAGTTCTGGACAAGGAGCCAGATGTGGATTCCTAGTCCTGCAGTCTCTCAGGTGGCTGATGCTCAGCAACATCCAGAGGCACAGCTACTGGCTGCAGCCTGCAGGCTGGAGTCAGCCACCAGCACCATGCACTAAGCTGAGTTGTGCGGTGGCAATCAGAAAACACTGCAGGCACTTGGCAAAGCTAGATCCAGAGACAGAAAACCTCTAAAAAAGCTACAGTAGGTTTATAAATGTGCTTAGATGCCAAAAGAAAGAAAAGTAAATGGCTATAGACAGGCATAGAAAAATAGTTTAAAAGTAATAATGTCATTAAAGAAAGAATGACATAATATGAAAAGAATAAGCCATGTAAATATGGAAAATATACAGGATGTCTGGATTCTGTATGGTACTTTGTTGACTTTGAATTTTTTAAATGCTAATAAACAAAAAACAATAGCTGCTGAGAGACACTGGATTATGGAAACTGCTCAATTAAACCAATTTATGTATTTTAAGAAGGTCTTAACTTCAAAATATAAGTTAGAAAATATGTTGTGTTGGGGGAGAGGTTATGCCTTTGTTTCCCGGGAAACAAAATGTTATGGTTCTCTTCAAAATTAATGAGGGTCAGATTTTATTGGGGGAGACCTCCTGAAAATCTTGACTACAGACATGAAAAAAGAAATTAAGAAAGACTACAGGAAAGGTGACATATATGCTGATCCCCCTACTGTGGGAACTGTTCTGAGACTGGATGAGACATGATAAATCTTGTTGGCTACAGAATCCTCATGACTTATTATTGCATGCCATCCTTTCGTATGGCATGGATAGAGGTTTGATTATCTGAAGACACCTTAGCCCTCAGCTGGTGTCCTGTGCCCATGTAGTGAGGAGTGAGGAGCTGCTCTTGATCTGCCGTTTGTATTCCCAACCATAGTTTATACAGACAACCCTAGTAAATCATGTTTTATTTCTGAGTGGCACTTTAAGTTAAGTAGTTAATTTATGTATTCATATGATTCAACTCATATCTTCTTTCCTTTAGGTGTCTGGTATCCTTGACAACCAGATCAAAATAATTCTATTTCATAAATCTAAACAAAACAAACCAAAACTCACACATAGTACTTATCATCTATAAACAGATGAAGTCACCCAACTAATGTTAATTTTTAGATATTTTAGTGACATTTCTACTTGAAGATAATTTTTTGAGATGGGGTCTCACTGTTGTTTTGTCTGGACTAGAACTCACTATGTAGACCAGGCTGGACTTGAATTCGCAGAGATTCTCCTGCATATGTCTCCCATGAGCTAGGATTAAAGACCTGTGCCACTACAACTGGTTCAGATAATTTTTACATTCTATTGTTTTTATTTGTAATTCATTATATGTGGTATGCATGCTTTATTGATCAAATATTGCAAAGTATTTGCAAAATATTTAGAAGTTTAAACTTAGAGAAAATCTTAGACATTGGGTAATTTATCTTCTTAAAGAATTAGACTTTGTCTCATAAGTCATCTATGTATCTATGCTATTGCTTTAAGTTTATAAAATTTCACAAGAGAATAAATCAAGTAACTTACCAGCAATATTGGGTAAAAATAAGATGATCAGAAGAAGATGTGATTTGAACTATTTGTAGCCTATTATTCTCATGGCTTTTTTGCTAATCAAGTATTTTCCCTTCCAACCATTTGTACTATTATAATGTATATATATAATATATTGTAATGCCCAAGAAGCAAGGAGGAAAGTAAGCACTTCTATACATGCTATATTATGTACACATATATACACATATGTATATATATGTATACATATATATGCACACACACACCTATTTTATTTTCAGTGAGCTCATCTAAAGTAGCTATACTTTCTGAATGAATGAAATGGAAAAAAGAAAGCCATGTAGCTGCCTGCCTTTAGTGAATATTAAACCTGAGGTGGTCATGTCTTAAAGACTTGAGAAGTATGCTCTTGGGTTAGGCCTATAGGGGCCTGTAGGAAGTGCCTGAGTTCAGAAGCATACATTTGGACAAAAGACAACCTCTCAAGGGACAAACAGTCCAGGAACAAGCAAAATTTGAACTCCTTGGTTCTCATTCGCATTTTATGAGAATTTATTAAAATTTTAGAACTGTCTAAATAAATGATCGTCCATTTTGTTTTCATTTTGCCAGTGTCATTTAATCTCATTGCAGAAAGTGAGCCAAGACAAAGAACGTGCCCTCAGAGGTCCTTGCGAGGCTTTCCGGTGTCTTCCATACCCATGGGTGCCCATGTCACAGATGTGGGTCCTGTCACAGAGGCTGCTTCCCTCAGGCAGGAGTTGGGTAGTCCTTCAAGAGTAACCCTACACTAGAGTCACTTGGAAAGCTCTGTCATGCACACTCATCCCATCTTCCCAAGTGTGATTGCAAATGTCACACACCCCCACCCCACCCCACCCCACCCCCCGCTGGTAGTCCTTCCCAGTGCCCTGCCTGTACTGCTTGGAACCCAAGTCAATGTCTCTTTCCAGAATCTGGCTTTGCCCAGTTTGTCATCTGGGGGACTACTGTCTAGTGCTGATTCAGTTTCTTTCTCATGGGCTAAAAGTATTCTGCTGGCCATGTCCAACACAGAGTTCTATAACACTTGTTCTACATGTCCCCAAAATGTGGTTTACAGAGGATCCAGGGACACCTAGGACTGCCTTTTAGTTATTGTGTGTGTGTGTGTGTGTGTGTGTTTATGTGTATTGGTGTGTGTGAGTGTGTATACATATCAGTGGCTGTTTTTGTTCAGATTCTATCTGGCTTGGTTTTTGAGACAGAAAATCTCTCACTAGCCTGGAATTCATCAAGTAAGTTAGACTCGCTAGGTAGTAATCTTCAGGGATCCACCTGTTTCCTCCTCTCCAGTGCTGGGATATCACCCACCATGCTATGCTTCTTTATGTGAGTCCTGAGAACCCAATTCATATCCTCATGCTTGTGAGACAAGCACCTTATATACTGCGTCATCCCCTCAGACCCTAGGGTTGCCTTTTGACAGCATTTTAACATCATAGTTTGGAAGCTATAACCCTAGCCACATTTCATACTGTCGTTCCTCAAATAAGCCTCATTTATACACTACATCATTCATTATTGACACACAGATTACCAGTTCCATTGGAAAACCATGTGCCCAGCATTTCTTGCATTTGAAAATTAGCCAAGTTTTAGAAATAAGATGGTAGACTTCAGAACCTGACCGCTTTGGGTTTAGATTTCTGACTGACTTTGAACAAGCTATTTTACCCCTGAGCCTTGCAGTTTGGGGAGAATAAACATAATTCTTCAGCTTTTATTCTACCTGGCAACCAGCAAGAACCAAGCTAGGACACAAGGCACAGGCCTCTTCAGCATTTTTCATTGGCTCAGGAAATTAGCAAGGTATGTTTTCCTCCTGCATATCTATTAAAATTGTACTGCGCAGAAAGTACTTGCCAATCAGTGAGTGGATATCGATTAACATTTAGGACAATTCAAAGCATTTAGAATTAATTATTGTTTCAGGCATCTGATAAACAAATGCTCTAAAGCAAATTCAGCTAAGAAATTGCATGGCTACTTTTTAAATTAAAAAAAACCAATATATTATGAATGTGGAGTCAAATAAAATTACCGCCATCTATTTGTTCAAAACTTTCTAGTTATCAGATAAAATGGGCAGAATCAGTCTTTTTACCTGAGCCCTCTCCTCCCATCTCCTCCTTCTCTGTCCCCTCATCCCCTCCTGCTCCCTGCTCAGTGTTCTGCCAGTGCAAGGCAACCTCTCCCCCACAGACATGCATACCTCAGTCCCCTTTCTTTATTTGTGATGCAGACAGTGACCCTTCCTTAGGCCTCCTGATCCCTCTCTTCCCAGTCTGTGCTCTGACTC